AATACTTCAACTTCTCTCCATTTCAAGGGGATGTACTGATGCGCAGGCAGCCCATAGTTTTTTAAAAGGGATGGTCCAGTATGTCATATCACACCCATCTCAGTAGGCCTGGGAAAAGACACCATCTAGTCCTGGCGCCTTGAATGGTAGGAAGCTGTAAATTTGCCCATCTTAAGTTTGTCAGGGTTTGACAACTTTGCGGGCCGTATCACCAGTCTGTATCATCTGGTGGTTTTTCCCCATCTGTCTTCCCATTTTTACATCGCATCTGATATGCGACATCCAGGAAGTGTGTTTTTATAGCAGCTCTGAGGTTTCCGAGTCTGTTTCGGTATACTCACCATCAGGCTTCTTCAGGGAGCCAAGTTTGTTTTTCGCCTCTACTACACAGTATGCTTTTGACTCTATTAGCCTGATTTTTGTTTCTATGTAGTACAGAAGTTTCTCCAGCACTCAGTTTCCTGGTTCTGATTTCTCTTTTTATTTGTTGTCGGGCCTGCGTGTAGGCATCCCAATGTTGGTCTAATCGCGAGTTTTCTGCTTTATTGAAAACTTTCTCACTCTACGACTTTAGTCTTCCAGTCCGGACCCCACCATTGGTGTTTGTTTTGTGGTCCAGTTCTGGGTGTGGAAAGTGGGCATGTTTATTCAAAGCAACGATCAGTGTCTGTGTAAGGTTGACGACATGACTGTCAATGTCTTTTACAGTCCCCGTAGCGTATGTTGGGTTGATGCTTCGCAGATTCTCCGCAGTAAGATGTTCCCTACCGTTTCCGGTACATCGTGCGGGGATTCCGTCGGGCATCGGGGAGTTTAAGTTTCATTTCAAAGTTAAATTTGATCCACGATGGTCTGAGCACGATGCTTCGTTCGAAACATGCCAATTCGATATGTGTTGCGATGCGTGCTCACTTGCTAATGTAAGATCAATTATTTGTTTGGGCCCTGGATGTGACAATGTCGGCTCCGAGCCCACGTTGATAATGTTAAGGTTAGTTGATTTAATAGAACGATACAAATCCTCACCTCTCTGGGTTTTTGCTCCTGCTGCCCCACAGCGCATGGTGCGCGTTGGTGTCAGCAGAGATGATCAGGCTCCCCGACCTCGCGCTCCCCAGTGGTGTGCCAGCGCAAGCCAGCTCCGGATGGGGATGTCAGCATCGCCCGGCAAGTAGGCTGATGCTATCACCACGTCAGCAGGTTTGATGAGGGTTCCTTTAACCTAATAGAGGTAAGGTCTCTGGAACAGAAACTTTATTAAGGGAGTACAACGCATGTTTTGGGGTATAAATACAAGTCGCGGGTTATCAATGGGAGTGTTGAGAAGTATCTTACCTCCAATATTGTTTTGACCGCAGATCCTGCCCTTCCTAATCCACGGCTCCTGGATTTGGGCTACGGTGTTGGTTTTTACCTCCAGCTCCTGTGGAGGTTAGCCGGGTTTCTGTTGGCTGTGCTGGAGGTTGGTTTGTATGGCTATAAGGTGTTATGGGGGGGTGCAGACAGCGCATCATCGCGTTCAGCAAGTCAATCCCCCATAGTCGTCGAGGTTCACTCTCGCCCACCGGTGGGCCTCCAACTCCTCAGGAGGTGGACCCGGCAGGCTGTCTCTCAACGGGTATCAGAGATCCCCTCCATTGCCGTCCTTAGGTGTTGTGGGGCCGATTCTGGCTCCTCGTCTGGGTTAGTTGGTGGGGCGGGACGTTCATCAAGGAAGCGAACGTAGAGGTTACCCAGTTTGTAGTATACTCTACGCTCGTAGCCTTGAGCTTCACGACGTCCTCTTCTGGATGCCCAGCACTAGGAAGAGACATTTCTTTCCTCCTGCGCCTCGGCATGGTAGAGGGCCCAGTTTGGGCCCCATTGTAAATGGCTATTCGGTACTTTAGCCTTGTTTGTATACGGACCAAATGTATCATCTGGGCCGATTTGGGGGTACCAAAGGGGTCCCGCCCGATCCTTTTCGGGATTTTCAGACTGCCTCCTGACGACCAGTTTGGTGCCTTCACGTGGTGATGGGATCCTTACCAGGGATCGGCGAAGCCACTGTAGGGCATATTCGTCGTTGCAACCACATCTTAAGGGCGCCCCACTGTAGAAGGCCTTTCCCCTAAACTGTGGGGGCAGGACGGGTGCGCTTGACGTGCCGGGCGAGAAAATCTCCTCATCTAGCACGCCCTGCAACTGGCCCTCGTGTCCTCTGCCTGTGCCTTGGTGAGTCGTGGTAGGGCTCCAGCATGACCGCGACGCAAAAGGTCATTCGCCTTTAGTGCGTCGGAGTAGCTCGTGGACCGGTCTTTGGCAGCGGTTTGAATCGGGTTGCCAAATTTCCCTGGGGAAGTGCGAGACTTGTCCGGGCGAGTTCTTTTGACGGGCTTGTTTCCACTTTTAAGGTTTCCTCCACGTGTCGCTCGTCTCGCCCCTTTTCCCTGTCCAGGTTGGGCGCGCCTAGAGGTACTTTGGCCGCTACAGGCGTCTTGGCAGTGGCGCCCCCACAGGAGACACTTCCCCGTGGCTTGAATTTCGTCTTCGCCTCGGGGCAGCAACGTCACTGGCGGGGGCAACGTGGGCCCCTTCGGGCCCTTTTAGCGACTTCTAGCCGCTTACTTCCACCGAGGTCAGACACCGTGCTTGCCTTTCCACTCGGGCTTTCCCTGTTGGCCCTTGCGGGTCTTCTTGGAACGGGTTTGGTTTTTTTGACGCTCTCTTCTTTGTCCTTACCAGGCTCCAGCCGGTTTCTTCCAGGCCGGGTCCCGCAGGTACGGGCATTGCTGCCTCAAAGAGGAGAGGGTCGATGGTCGACACTGGCTCCAGTTTTTTGGTTAGACACCAGAGGTGTCGCCAGAGTCGTTTGGGTGGCGCTGCGGTCGGGTTGTTAGCCTGAGCAGCAGCCAAGGTGTATTTGTCGGGTTCACCCTTGGGTTGTTCACCTGGGGTCAGCCCATTGGTTGTTTAGCCTGGCACTTGGGTTTTTCACCCTCGGTACCGGCCGGGGGTTTTTTTTAAATTTGGGTTTTTTTAGGGTCCTAGTGTGTTAGGTATCTATTCATCTTCTTTTCCTTCCAAACCTCCTTGGAGCCCTCAGTGGGGGACGCCGCGGCAGAAGGCACACGACGCCAGAAGTGACAAGGAAATATAGAGCTCCCTCCCTGACAGAAGGCAGGCCGAACTAGGTAGGATGACTTGGTCGTCCCACCCGTCGTCCACCCCACCAGGAAGGCTCTCGCCCAGCAGCCCTCTGACGGGATACTACAGCCATTGACCAAAAAGGGGGCTAGCCTTCCCGCCCTCCCCTTGTAAAGAGAAATCCAGGCCAAAGAGTTGTGTTGCCTTTCAGCTCAACTACCAGGATCCCTTCATCCTCCCTTACGGTTCCCTGCACATGGCACAAACATGCGGGGGGTTGCCCCCCCTCCTCCTCACTCTCAGTCTTTGTTGATATGAGGGCCGCAGGCACCAACCACTTAGTGTCCGCAGTAGGGGTGGATGGGATAGGAAATGGGAAAGGATAGGTTTTGTGGGATGGAATTGCGTCCCGGGTGTTTCTGTTATATCTGTTTCGTAGGGAATCAGACGATGCACCTAAATGTCAATGTCAAATGTTGTCTAGCAGTGGACTGCGGTGGGCTGATGATGATGGACGATACTATTTCCTTTTAATTTTGAAAATTTAAAGGAGGGGCCCGGGGTTTTTTGGGCTCTGGTGTTGTCACTCACTTTGTGAAAAGTAATAGAAGAACTGCTTAGCACCGGTTTTCTGTAAGGCCGTGAAAGGGGCCGCCAAAACATGGCTCTTCCAGGGACAAAGTAGTTTTTTGGAGATGAATTATGTATCTGTGCAAAATGATAACTAATTTTATTCAAAACAATTATTTAAGAAAACAAATTGAAAATAAACTTATCTATCATCCATTTGTAGAATTATCCGTTTACAGTAAGATACTTATATAAGACATCACAAAATCTCAGCATCAATTGGAAAATTGTCTTATATAACATGACACTTGATTTTGTTCGTGTACTATGGAATACCTATACTTGCAGTTTATTTTTTATCAATCATTATCATTTTTGTCACAAGAATTTCTCACCAAAATTACTTTTCCGTTTGCCTTTAGAGCCGCATTTTCGCTGGGTCACTAAATTTATATTATTGCTATTAGTTACTGCCACGATCATGACCCTCACTGATAACCGTCAAGAGTAGCATAAAAGTTTTTCCCATTAAGGGGAAATTATATATAAGCGTTTACAGAACACTTAAAACGGTTTAAAAGCAACGTTTGTGTGTGGGGTGTGTGTGTGTGTGTGTTTCGTGTTCTTCGCAAATTCATGAAATGTCCACTAAAACAAAAAACCGTCGTCTTAAAGAGTATTTACTCAAAACACATCACGGTGTAAATAACGAACAAGCAAGGGGGGACTATCAATATCGACGATTATCCCCTAGTTTTAGAAAAAAATGACTATAAGAGAAAAAACTGTGTAGCCACCGACCGAAGGTTCGATTTCAAAAGTATTCGTATCAAGATTTGGGTTTTACATAACTTTTAGAAAGTGCAAGCCATACATATGGTCTTGCTTGGCAAAATTTTCAAGAAAATTATTTTGGTGGAATTACGATTACTAGAAACTAGTACTTATTCTTTCGTTTGTATTTTCTTTTATTTAATAGCTGTTTTTATAAGTAGTAACTACTTAATCATCATGTGATCTATCTTGGAAAATACTAATTAATGATTAATAAAAAAGTGATGATTTTAATTACTATATAAAACCCAAGTTTCAACAAAAATTTGATCTCAAAATATTAAAATAAAAATAAATTAAGTAAATATATATATAAATAAAAATAATCTTCAGGACATTGTGAATGATCACAAAAATTAAATAAAAAAGTTCTTGGGAAGTAGATCATTGTTTATCGTAGTATTATTCCAAATAATTCAAGATAATAATTTGAATTGGTGGGTTTCTTCACTTTTTAATTTAATTGCTGTATGTATTTTCTTTTCATTGTCCTTTATCTCACCATAGGTCTCAATCGACGGCAATATGTTAAGACCCTTCAATCCGGTGGCTCCGTCAGCAAATGGGTCTGGTGGGCCCAAGAACCAGTTCTATTCAATACCACTATTCGTGAAAAACATTCGTTACGGACTGAAGAAGCCACACATGAAGAGATCAAAGTTTGTGCACGACAAGCCAACGCACACCAATTTATTATGAAACTGCCACAGGTACAGAAAATAAATTGATACATTTTTCTTTAATATTGGTAAACATACATCAAACAAACTTGGGGAACACTTGCTGTCATAGTGTTAATTTTTTTAGGGTTATGCACGTTGGTTGGGGAGCGTGTGCCCCTTTGTCCCGGCGGTTTAGAAAAAAACGTATAGCTATAGCAAGGGCAAATGGTGCGAAACCCCAGTATTTACTTTTGGACGAAGCTACTAGTGGGCCCTTGACACGTCTTCCGAATACAAGTACAGAAAGCGCTGGATAAGGTAAATAAGTGGTTCCTAATAAATAATATCAAATCGAATGATGGCAATCAAAACTCAAAACAATTTGTAATAAAATACTTGAAAATAGTAGCACTTGTTCAAACTTAGAGAATAAATGCGCAATAGTGTGAAATTCTCCACGATTTTACCTAACATGCCCAAACTCCTACATCCTTTAGAAAATCGTTATCAAGTTCTTCTTTTCTGATATTAATAATTTCTCACAAACTATTATAAATTTCTTAAGATTAGCACTGTAATCCCTCAGGCTCAGGAAGGTCGTACTACGATCGTAGTGGCTCATAGATTGTCCACAATAAGGAACGTAGATGTCATATACGTATTCAAGGCTGGTGAAGTTGTAGAAAAAGGTAACCACGTCGAGTTGATGAAGCTAAAAGGACATTATTATGACATGGTGATGTTACAAACAAGGGCGATGAGGCAGCAGAAGGTAATTTTCATTTTATTCGTTATAATTATTAAGAATCTAAACACTTGAATGCGTAAGCCAATCTTCCCAAAAAAACACAGATTTACAATTTCGCTGCCGAAAAGATACAATTGTCGTATCATTTCGCTTTAAGAGCACTAACTCTAACTACCACAGCCAACACTGGCTTCCTTGGCGTAGACATATCGAGCAATAGTCAGGCGTATCGAGGCACTGGGCTTACGGGTCGCGACAAGACGGCTATACTCGGGGAGTTGTCCGGTCAATGGTTGGGCGGCAGCTCTGACCGCCCAGAATGAGGCACGCTTTTTGGCGTCCTCAAAGGATATTGGCGGTTAGTCCATACGTGGTTACCGCACCGTTTCGACGGAGGCGGCTTCCGCGTTGGCCGGAACTCCTCCGTGGGCTTTGGAGACGGAAGTGCTCGTCGAAGTATATCGGTGGATGACAGCGGAACTCAGCGAGTAGTGGCAGTCGTCACGTGCTGGCTTTGTCGCTGTAGAGGTACTCCAGCCGGTTAGGACCCTTTCCTTCCGACAAACGCAGGTAATTTCCGGGCACGGCTGCTTTGGCAAGTACCTGCACTCGGTCGCTAGGAGGGAATTGAGTCCCGTCTGTCACCACTGCACTTGCAATGAGGACCCGACTCGAAACATATCGAGCAAAGTTTTATACAGTTACCCAATCAGTCGATCCGTTCTCGAGTTTTGCGCTAAGCAACACACTTGGGGGTTCATTTTTATTTATATATAGATAGATAATAAGTAGCGCAATAGATAAGTAATTAACACAGAACAAATTTCTTTTTCTGTGATTAGGAATCTAAACATTGAATGATAAGGACAATCCCTCCAAGACACAGATTTACAATTTCGCTGCCAAAAATATACCGGTTTGTCGTATCACTTCGCTTTGAGATTACTATACACAGCCATCATCGGAATTCTTAGCGAAGTCCAGTTTCACTGTGACTTATTGGTTCCGACCAAATTAGCCTTGAAGAAGTTTGGTGTAACTCTTTGAATTGCAGGTGACCCAGTAGTTAAATGTAATAAGAGAAAAGGGAGACTTTTATGCTATTCAAATATTTTAAGATAAAGTTTTGTATTCCCAGCTTGGGGTTTCCGTGCGTCGTGCCGTAACCATGCCGGCTATGGTGAGAAAACCAAGGTGCTCGTTAGTGTGGTTCTCCTCTGACTATCTGACTATTTAATCAATTGCGTTCTTATTGGTGGCATTTTCGGCAAATGACTTTTATTTTTATTATGATGTTCTCGTCAATAGCATCTATCTTCCATCGGAAATAGACTTATTCTCTTACTTCTTTCTGATCCGCATTGTGTTGCACAACTGGTTTTAAGCTGACCTTTTCCGTTTCATTATTTATTGTTGGGTTACAACACATGTTTGGTTTGATAAAATTTGTATATTTTTCTTCTTTTCTTGTTACTTAATTCAGTTTTAATCTCTCTCTCTTTTCCAATTTTAAGGGCTAGGTCATAAGCAATTGCCATCTATTCGCCGCTCTTTCACACTTTCTCCTTTACTTGCTGTATGTACGTTGATCTAGTCCTCCTCGCTTTATTTTGCCTTCTGTTCTGTTTTCAATCACATTTAATAATGCTCTCTTTTCATTTACTATTATTAGGGCTTCTTTTTTGGGGTTTTATTCTCTATCCAATTGTTTATCATCCGCCCTCCAGCATTTCAAATTCTGCCAACTTGTCTCTATCTCTTTGAGTCAGCGTACACGGTTCACAGTCTATAATGCAATACTCTATATGTATGTTTTGATGAGCGTTTTCTTACTTTTGTTTTAAATTTTGGTCTTGAACTGGTGTGTTTTTACGGTTGAAATCCGAGGAACATCTTGAATCCTGCGTTATTCAAGCTACCTAAATATTTATAATTTTTCACCTGTTCAAAGTGTATAGTATATATATATTAGGTACTATATTCTAATTCTGTAAGGTTTTCTTTTTAGTTTTTTAAACTGTATCTCAACTTATAACTATATTGCACTTTAAAATTCTATCTTTAAGTTTATTGAGATCCATACGTTCTGGTTTAACCTTTCTCTTTCTTTCTTAGTTTCTATAATAAATGTACAGGGCTAGCAAATTATGATCCGTGCCCCTAGTCAGGTTTTGCACGACTTGACGTGGTTAAATAAGAGTTGCTATTGACTTCTCTCTTTTATTTTACTCAAATGTGATTGATTGGATATCCGAAACATCTTAAAATGGACGATTCTCATTATTTTGGAGTATTGTTGTGTACCGTTTGTAAATGTATGGATACATCTTCCTCTTTTCGAAAAAATCATCATAAAGAATCGTTATAATATTATGGTCGATATTTTACTACCCCCGCGATCAACAATGTATCGTTAGCGATTTGAGAGGATCGACCTATTGCTTTAACCAACATTTTATAATTATAAATCAAAAGGACACTCGCTGCACACTATCGTCAGATACGTCCATTTGCGTTAAAAAAGAAAATACCTTTTATGACATTTGTGAGATCGAGAGTAGATCGGAACTAAATTGTCTTCGAATTTTATTAAGAGAATTGCCCTTCTGGTCAAAGTGAACTTGACTTTAAATTTTTGGATTTTCTGCCTCTAGGCTCCAAAAGATAAACAAGTGATTTCGAGGTTAATTTATTCGATTCTATAATAAAATCCCAAATAGTATACGAGACTGGAGTATAAAAGCAATTTTTAAATCACAAATAAATAAATGGTAAACTATGTCAGAGGCTTTCTATTACTCAATTATAGACAACATAAAAGACAAGATCGCTTGGATTAATTTAGCACAGGCTATTTCGTTGTAGAAATGTGATGTTGGCTAATGTGTTTTTTATTTATGTTATCCATTTTTTATCTTTCACTTCACTTTCTTTCTTTTTCATTCTCTTTACTGATCTTGTTTTCTCGTCATTAGCTTTTTACTTTTTAACCCTGAATAACTGACATACTGGCACATATCGAAACAATGTTGTGGTTATATTCAATGATGCTTTTGTATCTATCTCTTAATTAAAAAAAGAGTGGCCGTCAGTTGGTTTGACCTTTCTTCTCGTAAGGCTCAACGGGCCTTAATAGGTAAACGGGCGGTTGAAGATCGAGGCATATTATATATTTTCGATACGTATATATTTATCTTGCTAAATTTTGTCAAAACAGAGATTGTTTGTGTTGTGCGTGTTGATCACTTCACTTTAGAGTCTACATAGGAGATGATTCAAACATTTTTTTTTATGAAGAAAGATATTTTGAGTCTGGAACCGGGTTGGTCAAGGGGCAGGTTTGGATAACGATTAGTCACTATTTGCTTAACACGAATGGACTACTATAGTTCGGCCTATGACAACAGTCTCACCAATCAGATTATTCAATAATTAATAAAAGCGTACAGAATTGTATATTTAGAATACAAAGATCTGACCCAGTTTAATGCCAATTATACTCAATTCATATAAATAAAATAATAAATAAATACCCAATTCGTCAGCACCGTAATTGCAAGAACTGACTTCTCAAGTTAGACTCTTCAAGGATAGTTGAGGAAAAAAAAATTCCTTTTATTCTTTCATCGTTACCTGAATACCTCGTTCACCACTTCCGTTTTTTTTTATGCTCCAATCTTGACCAAAATCTTCGTTCTATAAGCAAAATGCTTCTTCTATGCCCCCCTTACACTTTAACTTCCTAAAATTCTCCTATCTACGTGCCGTTAGTTCTTCTCTGGAATGGGCTCCCTGCCGATTTCAGGATGTCTAACAAACCACCTTACATTCTACATTCTAGAAAAAAGTGGGAGATCTTCTTCGGGATGAATTGGCAGAATAGTCACAACCTGACGCTAGTACCCGACTGAGTATTTGTATATTTTATTAAATTTATGTATATGTGTGTTTTATATTATGTATGTATTGTGTATACTTCTGGACTTCCATGTAAATGTAATATGTAGCAGTGGATTTATGTATATTAGTTATATTTAATGTTATCTTCTATCTAATAGTCAAATTTTTATAAACTATGTTAAATTTAATATTTTATTTTAACACCTAACGCATCATATTTTTACATGACCTGAAGGTTGACTGGGAGAGAATGACCCATGGCATTAAGTCCGCCTTTGTACAACATGTGCATTAAGTTTAAAATAAATAAAAAATAATATAAGATAAAGAGAAATTGTATCAGTTTTCATAATGTTCTTCCCTAAGCTCAAAAAAGCAATTCCTCCTTTTATTGGCGTATCTTTTGTTCGAGATATATTTGTGTTAATTGATTTTAATATAATGTCCAAATTGTAATTTACAGAACCTTCTAAAGTACTTACTCGTGAAAGTTCGGTGAAAAGTGCTCAAGAAATCGACGATGAAGAAATCCTCGAGCTAAAATCAAGTGTGAGTAAGATCTGTCTTTAAGTTAATTTCTAAAAGAAATGTGATTTGCATTGTTCACATAGTAAATTCTGCCAAAAAAAAAAAAACGATATCTCTGTATTTTCGGTAAACATAAGTCAAAGAAAAAAATTGGCACTTAATCATTAATATCAGGAATGTTAAAATATTAATTACTATTCCAATAAACAGGACGCTGATGAGAAAGACGAAAAAGACACAGACGTGTCATTCTGGAAGGTGCTAGGCTGAATAAACCGGAATGGAAGTCGGTAACTCTAGCCAGTATTTGCTCCTTGATGAGCGGATTCGCCATGCCGCTTATTGCTGTCATATTTGGTGACCTATTAGTGTAAGTATAATATCTACTTTTTCTTTACTTATTGTATTACATCTGACACTTAAAGGCACAGAAGTATAGTATTTTAACACGAATTTAATTAGCTTGGTAGGTAGGTTATGTAACGTGAAACTCGAATGTGATTTTGACCCACTTCAAAAACGTGGAATTAAATTGAAACTTCGCACGCTTATCAAGGACCAGCAATACAATAAATTGATAAATTTGGCTTATTATCCTGATCAGGATTCAAGATTAACTTTTTCCATACCTAAAAATACGGTAGTGTCTTTTGCTACGTGCTTACTTACTTGTTACTTTTTAGTCTTAATGAGAAAATAATCATGATGAATCATGACCAAAAAAGCAAAAATAAATTATAGTTCAAAAAACAAAAAATACGCTTTTGTAACTAAACGAACTAAAAAGTAATTATCTATAACTTCAAAAAGAAAATCATTTTATCGTAAAAATTCGTGGGGTTTCTTTCAAGATATTTTATAATATAATAACTTTACTTTAACCAATAACTGTCAATAAAATATTTTATAACAATTGAAATCTATCACCCTACGCATTGGTACGATAAAATGATTATTCTTTTTGAAGGTATAGAAAATTTATTATGTACTTTTTAGTTCGTCTAGTTACTAAAAAGCGTGTTTTAAAGTTTTTTAAACTATAATTTATTTCCTAATCGTAGTAGGTAGTAATAATATTTTACAAACTCGAATTAATCAAACATTGGAATGCGCAAACAGAATGCAGAATGCAGTGTGCTGTAAGGTTCGTATACAATAGATTACAGACGACGTACTTTAATGTTTTGTAATCGTACTAGCTGACCCGGCAAACGTTATTTGCCATATACATTATTTCAATTTTTTGTCAAAAAATAATAATTAGGGGGGGTATGAAAAAATAAATGTTGGCCGATTCTCAGACCTACCCGATATGCCACACAAAAATTCACGAAAATCGGTCGAGCCGTTTCGAGGGAGTTCAACCATGCATACCATGATACGAGAATTTTATATATTACATTAAAAAACTCAACAAGGTGAAAAATACATTGGCACGGCCGGTTGCTTGACACGAATGAACCTAGAATAACAACGTAAAACCAAATAAATTACTTGAACCAACCGTATTTTAAAACTTGAACATAACAAAAAACTAATAAACTACAGGTTATAACTGTTAGGGGTTTATTGTAAATTGAATATTGCATTTTATTCAGTAACAAGTCGCTGCTGGAAAGCTGAACGTAGACGCAGCAGCGATTCGACCCCTCGACGACTTTTGCTCAGGAAAGCTCCTCGCTAGGTAAAAATGAGGGTACGTCGGATTCTGCTGTCTCGTTTATCGCTTATGTGATAGGGACAAATGTGGTCACGCAACGAAAATAAAGAGAAAATAAGCACTCTCCTGTCCCGCACACACCTCTTTCCTCCAGAAGAGATAAGGCCTCTTTTAGGGTTATATTTAAAATACCACTTCACCGACAGCTTCAATGAGGTGATAACTTGTAAGGGTCTACACATGATTTCCCTTAAAAGTACATTAATGCGATATTTATTTTATTAATTATATTTTTAAAGGATCTGGCAAGTGAAAACCTAGAATCGGTTGTAGACACGGTGCGAGGATACGCATTAATATTTGTCGGTATTGGCGTCTTTTCTGGAGTCATGAACTTTATAACAGTAAGTACCCTATTGTAACAGGTCTGTATTATGCAAGTAGTTCAATTATTGTATCTTAATAAACTTTATTCAGGTTTTTTGCCATATCGGATTTATTATATGCATACTCCGCGGGTGACAATTCAGTAAATGCTGGTTTATGATGATATTCCTATTTTTCAGGTTTTCTTCTACGCTATTGCTGGTGAACATTTGACGGAAAGGCTACGTCAGCTACTCTTCGAAAAAATATTACAACTAGAAATTGCATTCTTTGATGATAAACGTCACTCCACTGGAGCACTTTGCGCCAAAACTGTCAGGAGAATCAGCTGCAGTACAAGGGGTAAGAATCACTGATTAGTAATTCTTTGAACCTAATATGTAAACCATACACCATATGATAGTTGCGTTAAGGTAGTTAACTGCCGTTCAACTTAGTAGTTTATATGAAATATGAAACAGCCATCATCAACAGTCTTTTACTTTACTAGAGGCCTTATGTCCACTGCTGGACATAAGGCCTCTCCTTAGAAAGTTGGTTTTGGCCTACTTTACCAAGTTTTTTCAAGTTATACTCCCTTAGTTGGCTCTTACGAAACCCACGGGATTCATCCCTTGGGTTTCGTGGCTGGTGACACTGTATTCTTGATCCGTCATCACACAGATCGCTTTTTCACTATGTACATAGATATAATTATGTGTAATTGTTACTTAGATTTTCTGGATATTATCAATAACTTTAACACTGATAAAATTTACTGATTACATAGTATTTTTAAAAGTGTACTTAATTAACAGCCTATTAAAGCAGCCTAAAGACTTTATACTTATAAAGAAAAGTTTTATTGCAATTATATTTTTTTTATTTTACTATTAAATAACGTATTTCTTGTATTCAGGCCACGGGTCAAAGAATCGGTACAGTATTACAAGCAGTAGGTACGTTTTCGTTTGCCTGGTATTGGCTTTGATATATGAATGGCGAGTGGGCCTAGTCGCTTTATCTTTCGTGCCTGTAATAATGGTGGTGTTATACAAACAAGGAAAGAATGACCTACTACGAGTCGACTGAAACAGCGAAAAGTATGGAGGCTAGCTCTAAGGTAAGTTTTTCACATTTTATTTCCGTTTGCCAACGCATATTCATATTGTGTGTTAAGATTCATTTAGCATGGACATTTTCTGTCATGATGTTAATTTCATATGATACATATGAAATTCGGCGTTTTGTACGAGTGGAATATAAAGTCAATTTTTTTTGTAAAATATATTTAATCAATCAAAGTATGCACCTTTGTTATCTATGCACTTTTGACATCTCATGGGTAGTTCATTGATCCCTTTACAAAAAAAAACTATGGGGACGAGAATCAATAAACTCTTTGAAGGCGGTTTTGGACTGCCGCATAGGAGTTGAATTTATTTCTTGTAAGAAGTTGTCCAAGTTCCGGAAAAATGGTAATCGTTGGAGCAAGGCCCGGGGAGTACGGTGGATATCGCAGACATTAAAATTGTAGCTCATCTAACTTAGTGGTTGTTTGTTGGCAGTGTGTGGTTTTGGGCGTTGTCGTGACGCGGGCAGTGGCATAGACCGTTTGACCAATCCGGTTGTTTAGCAGCTAGCTCTTTCTTCATGGTGTGCATTTTGCTGACAATAGATATCAAACCGTAATTCTTTGGCCAGTTTTTGGGAAAGCTGTAGTTAACAAACACCGGCGGTAATCTATCAAACACTAAACAAGTAACTTTTTCGGAGTTAATTCTCGTTTGGGCAGGGTTTGGGTTGGTCTCCAGGGTTCACCCAAATGCGACGACCGCTTTCGATTATCGTACAGTATCCACTTTTCATCACAAGTAATGTTTCGATTTAAAATCCCTTCATGATTGTGTCGGTCAAGCAAAGTAACACAGCAGTCGGCGCGTGTTTGTAAGTTCGATTCACTCAATTCATGAGGTACCCACGTTCAAGTTTTTTTTATTTTTCCGATTGCTTCAAGTGGATTAATACAGTTTTCCCACTTCCCCCGAAGCCTGCAACTTTTCCCCTGAAGTGCTTTGCGATGGACCCGCTTCCACAATAGCCTTTAATTTTTCATTTTCCACTTTGGTCTCCGGCCGACCACGGGTTAGTTCTGAAGGGCTAAATTTAACGAAACGAATTAGAACGAAAAACGTTGAAACCAAAAACGTACCGTGCTTTCTTTTGCGACACTAACGCCGTTAATCCTTCGAGCAGTTTCTGCAGCACTGGTGCCACGATAGACCTCTTACTCATAAATATACCGAATATTTTCATTTTTTTCCATTGTGCGGTAATAAGCGACGCCAAAGAAAAAAAATAAGAATTACTGATTTCAAAACTCAAATGTACCAGCAAAACTGATTTATAAATTTGAATTGGAATTTTTGACCAAAGAGGAAATGTTTCAGATCAAAGTTGTCAGTACGACCAAAACGTTTAATTTCATGTGTAAGGACCTAATATTAAATTAACAATAAAACCAACCTTGGGGTCCCTTAAGCTTTCGGGTAGCTATTTGAGATAATCGGGAACAATAATATTTTTATATTTTAAGTAAGTACATTATTAGTCATTCTAAATGCTAAATAATGATCAAAATTATTTAAAACATAATGAAAGTATTCGTCGAGATATTGTTGCGTATTTGAGACGAATACGATCGTATAGATTTCATATTCAGATTCAGATTTTAACCCAAAAATATATAATGCGTTAAAAAGTTTATAATGCGACAGCATAACCCAATACGTTTACAACACTATGGGCATAGTAGAATGGAAGAGCAGAAGCAAAGAGTTGTATCAGTACCGCAAATTCTATGCGTGACTGTTCTGAAACAGAATAATTATAAAAATAACTGTGCTAACCGCTAAAACCCATTAGTAATGCGTGATTACGCCCTTTACCGCTTGTTTATGTCGCTAGCTGCGAATTCACTGTCGAGATTTAGAATTATTTTTTAACACACATATTTTTCTTTTAGATTGCCGTAGAAAGCTGTAGCCAATGTAAGGGAAAGGGAGCCTCGCTTGGGCCGAGAAAACACCTTCCGCGACCGAATACGCTAAAAATTTGAAACCAGCCCTTGAAACCCTTTCCAAGCGCGCTTCGCACTTTCGAGGCCTCGTATTCGGCTTTTTCTAGAGGCATCTTTAATTTCGTTATGGCTGCTGCTATAACTACGGAGGCACGCTCATTGTCAAAAGAAGGAGGTTGAGTTTCAAGTCGTTTTCCAGTAAGTTTTATTTTTAGAAAATTTTCTTTTCTTCTCATGTTTGTTTTATTAAACTTTTTTTGCTTGCTAAGAAGGTGAACTAAACCAAAACAAGCATTTTTTTTCTGAAAATGTTTTTTTTATAATAGTTATTAAAAATTTTTGATCTGCTCAAAGCACTACTCATGGGTTCGTCTGGAGCCGCACAGGCATTCGCTTTTGCACCCAACTTCCAAAAAGGCATCCAGGCAGCTGGCCGGATCATAACATTTTCTCGGCCCCAAACCAAAATCGTGGATTCCGTGCACCCAAGGCCAATAACTTTGTAAGTATTACGTTTGACTCTGTATTTTTGGCACATTGTGTAATTGTGTGAAAGCCTGCCAGATCTAAGTACCCTTTCGGGCCTGATACATAACGGTAATACATATAAAAGATTTTTTTGTTCCTTTTAGCACATTTTAGACACAACTAAGGGAAGGGAGATAGTTTCCTTCGTACCTACCTACCATACTTATAATTATCTACCTCTATCTACTTCAAATAGTCCTGAACGGCAATTAATGTCATATTTATTGATTTCTTTTTTCAAAGGATAGTCATTAACAAATGGACGGACCTGTTGGTCTAGTGATTTAGTGATCCTGACTGCTAGGCCGGAAGTGGTGGGGTTCCCATTCCCACCCAGGAAATAATTGTGTGATGAGCACGTCATTTGTTTTTGTGCCTGGGTGTAATCTATCTATAAAAATGTATGTATTTAAAAAATATATAAGTTGTTTATCAACAGTTGGTTACCATAAAAACAGGCTCTGCCCAGTTTCGGATCAGGGGCTGCCGTGTTTTGAGATGTAATGGAGTTTTTATTATTTACTATGTTTTGTCCTTATTATCACTCAGTTACGTAACTTTGATCAAATTTCAAATAGGAAAATTTAGATTACATTTATCTGTAAAAAATAATATTACACCTTTTTATTTATTACTCTACTGTTTGTGGTAATTATTTTTTGGGTTACATTAAAATTGCAATCGATTTCTCAAAATATGTACAGTCACGTGCATTGATATGTGAACGTTGTTAAATTTGCAAATATTTATATGTTGATATTTTCATATTTCTAAAATAAGTATCTCATATTTTATTTATCATCAGTCTTTACTAGTCCGCTGCTGGACATAGGCATCCCCTTAGAAAGGAGGGGTTTGCACTATATCATGCTGGCTCGACGGGTTGGTATAGGATTTTGTTTTCAGTTTTCCTTCTCTTTGCAGTGCTGTTGTCCTGCGTAGTTTGTTTTATCCATCTATATATTCCTTTAGTCGTCTTCTACTCTTATATCCATCAACTTCGATATATTAAACTTTCTTCATTACATTTTGCTTATCTCTTCGCATCACTTGTCTATACCAGAATAAACCTGTTGCTTCTCTACTTTCACCCACTTGCGTTACTTTGAGGATTCCTCCAATTTATGGAGGAATGATCCTTACCTTATCCATCCTAGTCACATTCAAATTCTGTAATTCAAAACAGATGGTAATAAGAAAAGCACCTGGGGGATTATAAACATTAAAAAACAAACATGTAGGTACATTAACGCATTAAGTATGTTGGATATGCCATTTTATTTTATTAAGCTCCTTTGCACTGAGACAATGCAATAAAAATAAGTTATAATAATAAACAAATTGCTAAAGTACGAGTTAGTATCAACTATCGGTTGAGTCAACCCATCTTTGAATTATAACATTATCTTCTTCTTATTCTTTCTTCCTTCCATTTTGTTTGAATATTGTTTCGCCTTTCTTTTTCTATATAAAATCATCATAAACAGCCTTTACTAGTCAACTGCTGCACATAGGTCTCTCCTTAGAAAGGAGGCTTTGGCCTACTATACCACGCTGGCCAGACGGGTTGGTATAGGGTTTGTGTCAAGTTCCACGGGAGTTTCCAGGTGGTCGGGCGCATTGAGGCGTTGGGATTACGGGTGGCCCTGGATAAGACGGAGGCCCTATTATTTCATGGGCCCCGTCGTGGTCCACCCGCCGGCGCCTCAATCGAGGTCGGCTCGGTCCTCGTACCGGTCCGGGCCCAGATGAGGTACCTGGGTCTGGTCCTAGACGGTAGGTGGCTCTTCGACGAGCACTTCCGACAGCTTGGTCCGAAGCTGGTGGACACTGCCTCCGCCCTAGGGCGACTTTTGCCCAATTTGGGCGGGGCCAGTGTTCACCACGAGGCGGCTGTACGCGGGGTTGTCGGTCCATGGCGCTTTATGGTGTGAGTGGCGGCTCTGACGCCCCGAATAGGGCGCGCCTCTAGCGCCCCCAGAGGATATTGGCGGTCAGAGCCATACGCGGATACCGCACAGTGTCCACCGAGGCGGCTTGCGCCTTGGCCGGAACACCCCGTGGGATTTGGAGGCGGAAGTGCTCGCCGAAGTTTATCGGCGATGGCTGACTTCCGGGCGGAGAGCGGATTGCGCCCTCCGCCCGAGGACGTGCGCGAGTGGCGCGAAGCCGCTCGCCGAGCCACCATGGTCAGATGGTCGTTCCGGCTGGAGACTCCACGCGCTGGCTTCGCCGCCGTGGAGGCTCTCCAGCCGGTCATCGCCGATGGGCAGGGGGCAGCACGGGACCCTTTCCTTCCGGCCACGCAGGTGCTTTCCGGGCACGGTTGCTTCGGAAAGTACCTGCACTCGGTCGCTAGGAGGGAAACTGAGTCCCGCCTGCCACCACTGCGACTGCAGTGAGAACTCGGCCCAGCACACGCTGCCCCGCAATGGGCGACGCAGCGCCGGGCCCTCACTGCAGTCATCGGAGCAGATCTCTCGCT